AGTAAAATTGTTGTTTCATATTTCCTACCCCATCGAGATCGACGCCCAATGAGATCATCATTTTTTCTTGCTTGACTTCTCGGTTTCTGTTATCATTTGTCTTACCTCATTTTTCTTGCATGACTTCTCAGTCGGCTTCTCTCACCATTTTCCTTACCTCGTTTATCTGCTGAGGTATATTCTACCCTTAATTGTCTTTGCATGGGTTTGTCTTCACTGATTAATCACATTTAATCAGTTTTAAGTAAAGGAGACCTTAAGCAAACCACGAGGGCATCGGTAAAGAGGACGCGGCCAAACAAAATATGTAGGGTCTCAATAGTCATTAGGATGATAGTTTTTACGGCTAAACTGGTCAAATTTAATCAGTCGGTGAGTAAAAACCCATCCAAAGCCAGTTAACAGTATAATCCACCCCAGAAGAAAAAAAATGGGGTTCCACTGATAGAAGAAACAGAGAGATGTAACGATAAATGGGCCTTAAATTTCAAAACGACAATTTTAAACTTAATCCTAATCTGTTAAAGGGCATGGATCTTCTCGCCAGGTCGGGAGTGCGAACGATGAAACACTGGTATTACAAATTTTACTATATTTGCCTGAAGTGGGCATGGGAGGAATGAGAAGTTGTTATTGGAAAAATCTGATCATAATGAATTAGTCTCATGAAATATAATTAAATACCTAAAAATATATTAATTTTCTATAAAAGACGGTAATGAAAAAGTAAAGGTATCATTGACAGCCAATAGGGAGCCGCATATTCCAGCTCATTTAATAAGGCCTCCTGTGACTTAGTCTTATTACTGGACCTGATATCGTATCCCGGCATCCTTGTTGAGTCAGGCCGCCAGATTCACCACAACAGATCAGGTAAGTTGCCCTTGGAACAGGCTTAGCTTTGACTTTTGATAATCTCATTTGATCTCAAACAGAAAATTGAGATAACCAGCATGTTTATTCTCTTCTGTTCCGGGGGTTTGATTGGTCGTCAGTGTGAAGTGGCTACCTAGAGGAAGAACACTTTTCGGAGGAAGGCAGGTTCGTAGCTTGGCTCTCTTCGTTCAGCACTATTCAGTTTGTACAGTTAAATGTAACCTTTCTTTTTCTTAACTCCAGTGTAACATCAAATGAAACTAAAGGAGGAGTAAAGGGGGCCATTACAAACTGGGAAGGGGGCTAAAGTTTCCACTCGCTTAAACCAGGGGA